TAGAGCTCCTTGTGAAAGGGACTGCCCATTGTCGTCCAGTGGATGCAGATGTGCAGCAACCTTATATATAAGGTTTCAGAGATTACATGAGCAAGCTTCATCTTTCTCCTACGGAGGGGCTAATGGGTTTGAACCACTAACCTTGTGGCTTACAGTCTAATACCTACCCTACAGCATCACCAGGGTTCCCTTGAAAGGGAGCAGAGGGGTGCAAATACACAGCCATGGCCTAAGCCATGAAGTTCCACTGGTTAGTTATCTGTGGAGGGAGAAAATAGAGGTATGAAGGCAGACTTCTGGACTGTTCAGTAGATTTACTTTAGAAACATGTATAGGAGGGGACTTGAAAAAGTTCCTAGAAAAATCCTATTAGAGGATACTGGATTTTTCCCATGAACTTCTTGATGCCCCCTCATGTACTTTCTAAGATAAAATTAATTTTAAAAAGCAATTCCTTGGATGTTGGGCTTGCACTCAATCCTATCTCCACTTTAAGGACAATTAGGTCTTACAACATGGTCCTGCTTGATACTCATCCTCAGGAAGGAAACACAGACAATATGGGTGTTATAGCAAAATGTGGTGAAGAAATTAGATGGTACCTGGCTAATCAGATAAAATACCATCTGGGGTCTTCAAGGCTTGTTATTACACAAGCAGCCATCTAAGTGAGATGTCAACTAAGCCCATATGGAAGAAGCACACCAACACCTGTGACCCAAGGATTGTAATTTATAATAATACAAACTACAGAAGGGAATAGTACGAGAGCTTAAATTGTGAGATTCTGATTTGCAGAAGGCTATGGTTGACAGTGGAAGCCCAAGATACTTGGGCTTGACTGGTTAAAACCTTATCACGTGATTCCTCCCGTCCCACACACCCCGAGACACTTTGGGCCTGATCTGGTTTTCAATATTTTCTGTCTTTTTTGTTTTGTTTTTCATATCGGGGTCTATCTCTGACGTATTTTGTCATTGTGGGTCACTTCCTTGAATCTTGTTTTGTTTTTCTGCATATGAAAATCAGGATTGATGAACTTACAGAGACAATAAGTAGGATAATGGTTTCTGGGGGGTCCGGTGGGGGGAGGTTGGGAGTGGGTAAAGAAGAACTGATATCACGGAGTTCAAGAAGGAACAAAATGTTTTGAAACAGACTGTGATAGCAATTTTGCTTGATGGGATTGAACTATAGGGTGGTAATTATTCGCTCGCAATAAAATAAAATGTTATTTTGAAAAAATCAATTCCTAAAAGGTGAAAGTAAAATGAAGCAAATGAATCTAGGTGTGTGTCTAACGATGAAAACAACTACCAGAAACATTTTAAATTGTTTTCAGTAGTGATGTTGTTGGGAGCAGGTGAAAACGGGTTGTGCTGTGCCATCACATCGATTCCAACTCATGGTGGCCCTATTCACCACAAAACAAAGCTCTGCCCAGTCCTGGGCCATCTGCACAAGCACTGGCCGTTATTGCTCAGTCTCTATGGCAATCCGTCTTAGTGAGGGTCCTCCTCTTTTTCACTGGCCCTCTGCTTTACCCAGCATGATCTCCTCCACAGACTTGTTCTTCCCTGTAATATGTCTAAAGAGCTTGAGATGAAGTGTCCCCATGCTTGATTCTCAGGAGGATTCAGGCACTCTCCTTTGCCAACACCGTGATGCAAATGCATCTATTTTTCTTCAGTCCTCGCTATTCATTGTCCAGCTTTCACATGCAGATGAGGCTATTGAAATTATCTTGGACCAGGTGCACCTCAGTCCTCAAAGTGACATAGTTGGCTCTGAACACTTTCAAGAGGTTTTTTGCACCATATTTGCCCAGTGCAATACGTTGTTTGATTTCCTGATTCCTTCTATGGATGTTGATTCAGATAAAATGAAATCCTTAAAAGTGATATGGTGTTCTGTGATACTCACCTTCCTTGACACTATTGCTGAAGACAAAATGGGTGCATAAGCAAATGTGGTGAAGACAGCTGAGGGTGCCTGGCTATCAAAAGATATAGCGTCTGGGGTCTTAAAGGCTTGAAG